AATCACCAGTCTTATTTAGCTTTCCTATTAGGTATCCTTCTAATTACTATGTTAATGCATACCCATTGCACTGAAGTTCACATAGGATTATCTAAATTGGGAAAAATATTCTATGGATTTATAGCACAGTTAATGGTATTTGAATACCTGACTCATAATGAATGAAACTTTGAAATGTAAGGACATTCCACCCATGCCATTGATTTTACATTGTGTTTCTCAGAGAAACTTTCTCACTTTAGATCAATTTTCCTGACTCTGGTTCTGTTGATACTTACTGCAATACAGACTTAACTTGAGGGCATGACAATTTTATTTTATTTTTTTAGCCAAAAGAAGAAATGAGTTATCAGTTCTGATCTTCCCTGAGTAACCTTGGATTTTAAATAGCCTTTAACAGATACAACCAGAGAGTACTTTAACAGTCAGTCATGCTTTATTTGGATAATTCAAAATGACAGGCTAGCATTTTTCAGTGCTTGGCACAGTCAGAAAATATTCATGCCATCCAAACCGTTTCCCCGTGAATTAGAGGTGAAAGGGTTCTATAGGAAAGGTCCAAGAATCCAAATTAGTTTTATTTTCAAATGTTAATTCTCATCATTTTTACTATGAATACTGAGAAACCACAGGGGAGCTGTATGAATCTTTTCACAATTTAATTGGCTTAATCTGGAGGAGCCCTTAGGAGAACCTGCTCGAATGATAAGAATAAGAAACCTGGTTGATGATGCCTGAAATTACAATAGCCATTGATCAGTGGTTACATTGCTGCCTAGCATTAAAACTCTTCTTACTAATAAGAATAGTAAAAAAAAAAAAAAAAACCCTCTATTTTTGTAGGGCCCTTTCTGGAAAGCCAAAATACATAATACTGTGTTTCTCCTTTTGGTCATTTTATGTGGAGAGGATATGATGCTTATCTTAGCCAGTTTTGTGTTGCTATAACAGAATACCTAAACTGGGTAATTTATAAAGAACAGAGATTTATGTGTTACAGATCTGGAGGCTGGGAAGCCCAAGACTGAGAAGCCCACATCTGGGGAGGGCCTTCCTGCTGCATCATCCTATGCTGGAAGCCAGAAGGGCAAGAGAGCACAAGGGAGCCAGAGAGGGCCAAGCTCGTTTTTATAACAATCACCCTCTCACAGTAAGGAACCCACTCCGAACATAACAACATTAATCCACTCACGATTTAATCACCTCTTAAAGGTCCCACCTCTGAACACTGTTACATTGTAGATTAAGTTTCCTACACATGAACTCTGGGGGACACACTCAAACTGTTAACACCATTTCCATTTAAAATGGGAAATGGAAATGTGAAAATAAAGAGGTGCAGAGGTTTAATCCAAACGCTATTTGCCACTCAGTTGTGTTATCAGTTACAGACCCTCCCCCTTCTTCTTCTTCTTTTTTTTTTTTTTTTGGCCTCACTTGGTCCTCTCATTAAGTTTTAAGTTTTAGGATAAGTTTCAATGTCCCGTGTCCTCCAGTGAGTTCAGTCTTGAGTTTAATACATTTTTAAGAAATCATAAAATAGGGTTTTAAAAAGCAAACCAAGGTTTGCTTTTAAAACTCTTATTTTACCAGACCTGATAAGCGAATAAAATATAAAATCATTGTCTCTTTGTGAATAAGTCCGAACAATTTATTTCATCTAGAATTTCGTTTTAAAATTGCACACTCACCGAGGGTTGCGATCCCATTGCCGGTCCCCGGTGCGGGCGCGACACCGAGGGTTGTGATCCCGTTACCCGTCAGTAAAAAAGACAAAAAGGAATAAAAAAAATATTAATAAAAAAAATTTTTTAAATAAAAAAAAAATTAAACACTCAAATTGCAGCTTAGTTCAAATATGACACTAGTAGTCACAGCTTCGTCAGTAAAAAAGACAAAAAGGAATAAAAAAAATAATAATAAAAAAATTTTTTTAAATAAAAAAAAATTAAACACTCAAATTGCAGCTTAGTTCAAATATGACACTAGTAGTCACAGCTTATCTTCATATAGCAGTATTCTCTGCCCATAAATCAGTGTCATGAATTGAGATAAAAGGGAGTGTGACAGCCAGAGTTTTGAATCATAATTTGGCTATGTGACCTTTGGAAGTTACTTAATCTCTCTGAGCTTATTTAGCTTTAAAGTACAACCTATTTGCAGAGTTCTTATGAGAGTAAATATAAGCTAGTTTGTACAAGATACCAGGCAAATAATAATTCAAGTTTATTGGTATTTATATTTTGGTTCATTTTTTTAATTCTAAATTTTAAAAAAACTTTTTATTGTACTTGACAACGTGATGAAGTTTAAGCCAATTCAGTCCTTTAAATATTTGTACATGGAAAATTAAAAACTCACTTAGAGGTAAGCTTCACCAAACATTTGTTGAAGGTTTACTAGGTTTACTAAATGCCAGGCAGGGACTCAAGTGCTGGGAGTACAGGGTGAAAGATCTGACTTCAAACCTCAAAGTACTCACTGTCCTATTGAAGAGGTAGATAAGTAAGCTGATACTTACGATGAGTGCTACAGTCAAAGAATGGAGGTTGGATGGGATGGGGGTCAGAGAACACTTCCCTGAGGAGGAAAACTTCAACTGAATCTTGAAAGAGGAGGTGAGTACAAGTTTTTCAGGCAGAGAGCTGGGATGGGGTATTCCAGGCAAAGCAAACAGTGGAGAAGAGAGAGTAGAAACTGGCGGCAATTTGGCATGACTAAAAAAGGGGTTTTGTCTGGAGATATAACAAGGCTCCAGATCATGAAAGGCCTTATGTGTTATGCTACAATGTTTGGATTTTATTTTGATGTTATTTTTGGGAAACATCTGAAAGATTTTGAGCCAGCAAATGACATAATCAAATGCATAGTTTAGAAAAATGTGCTAACCCAGTTTTCTCTGTTATATTTCAATCTGGTTCTTTCTAGTAATACATTGAAAATCTACTTCCATATCAGAGGAAACAGTTATCTTGTTTAACCTATGACTGTCATCACATTGATGTTAGGCACTTGGATATTTATGATCTTTGTTGAAAGCTATGAAAATTGCCACCCAGATCTTTAAATTTTAGTAGCTCACGGCAGTGAGATAGAAAGTTCATCACATCTGACAATCTCATTTCTTTAACTATTATAGCATTTGGCCAAGAATGAAAATTTTGCTTTTGGGTACTGTCCAACACCCTAAGCCTGTTAGCATACTTGGCACAAGGATGTCACAGACATTCGTTCCAGCGCACAATTCTCACATGGTAATGATCCTTCATCATAAGTATATTGTACTTGACAGTGAACAGTAAGAAACCAGTGGTTGATGTGTTTTACACTACACATTACATGGTCTCTTTCTGCAGCCTGATTTATAGAAGCAAGAGCATTCACTGAACATAACCTTATCAGAACCTCTTGTTTCCAGATCCCTCAGCCCTTAATTCAGACAGATAACACGGTTGTCTGCACTCCAACCTCTTTTCTGACTATAGGCAGGAAACATGGTAAGAGTCCCTGTCCCTGAGTGTGAAGGAACCTCTTACCAGTGGTTTTCATGTTAGCAACTGGGTGTTCTCTGGGTTTCTAGCTTCATTTTCTAGCCTGTTCAGGAAGCCGCCACAGTCTGTCTTCACCGCCCTTTCAGGCCGTGGGCAGTGTACATGTTTTACTGTGTTAGTCAACCTCCTGCCCAAGAAGCCGTATTTGTCCTTATCCTTGATAGTCTTCAAGCCTTTCAGATCTGACTCTGACCTTGTTTGTGCGCAATTTTCCAAAACACAAATATATAACAACATAAAAATGTAGCCTAACAATGTTTTGAGCAAATCCAATTCCATAATAGAACAACTAAGAGATATAGTGTAATGGGAAAAAAATGTGTGGTTTGGAGTCAGACAGCTTACCATTATTAAGTTGGATATACCAAATGTCTTAGTTATTGTACGAGGTGCCTTACACATCTCACAACAGCCCTATCAGAGAGGTTTCCATTCAGTAAACTTTGAAGAGGCTGGCTGGTTAGCTCAGATGGTTAGAGAATGGTGTTGTAATACCAAAGTCAAGGGTTTGGATCCCCATAATGGCTGGCCATCCCCCCCCACCTTCCCCCCAAAAAAGAGAGAGAGAGGTTTTCTTATAGGAACCAGGCCTTTGAGGGCTTATAAACATGCCCAAGATACGCAGCTATTAAGGGATAGTTCTGGAATTGAACTACACATATGTATTTCTGCCTAGTGCTCTTTTCACCATACAACACTGTCTCTCAATAAAGAATCTTTACATAAAGTGATTGTTTTGTTAAATAATGCATTACCCTGGTATACTGCTGTGAGGTTTATAAAGTGCTTTCACTTATAAGTCATTTGATTTATAGCATAACACTGTGAGGTAAGTATAATTATCCCTGTTCTGCTAGAGAGAGACCTAAGGCTCAGTAAGTTTAAGAGACCTGGACAACATAAAACAATTTACAAATGGTATTCATAAACTTTAAAAAAAGTCATTTATATTTATGACAAAGGGCCCCTTAAGTGGGGCACACTTATGTTGTTCACCCTATTGAGGGTAGGTACTGTTTGTTACTGTAGCCAAAGATTTGTTGACAACAACACTGATCCCCAAAGGAGAAACGTGTGTAACATTCCTCAAATCCACTCCCACATTTGCACTGCATTAGCTTTGGTTTATACAGACTCTGTGTAATGCTTGTTTTTCTACCTGATGACATAGGGGACGTGTCACAGATGAACATATTGAAGTATAAATTATACATCTGCCTCACAGGATTGTTTCATGTTAGGCAACAAACAAAAATTTTCCCTTTATATGTCTTTATTTCACATAGTAGTTGTTCTTTGCTCAAGTCTTCATTAAGGTCTTAAAGCAGGTATGATTACAGTAGTGATACATTGATATACTTTGCTTTCCTCCCCTCTCCCCATGGGGAGTGATTTGTGCATTCTACTACTTAAATCTTCATTTATAGCTACTTTTTTTTTTTTCTTCAGGTTTTGTGATGAAGGAACCTGTGCAGATAAAGCCAATATTCTATACGCCTGGGCAAGAAATGCTCCCCCCACCAGACTCCCCAAAGGTACATCCGAGGCCTCCTGGATAGTCTCATGTTAAGCTGCTTGATTTCTATTTCCAAAGTGCTTTTTATTATAGTCCTCTCTATCAGTTGTTGACAGTTTTCTATGTTGCTGCTACACAGCAGAAGTACCTGCATCACCAACCTTGAATTGAAAAGGAATCATTTAGGGTAGCTACGTAGTTACTCTTTCTCTGCCTCTCTTTGCAAAGTGGTTTGCCCACACAAGATTTTAGATAGAATTAGACAATAACCAAGGATGCATCAAGTCATCTTTGGCCTAAGGCATGTTGGTTCTATAGCAGGAGCACTGCGTGAGCCAAGAAAGCTAGGAATTAAATAAGTTGCTGTTTCAGCAGACGTATTTTTTATAATCTCAGAACCTAGGTATTTAATGTGATGCCAAACCTCACCTGGCTTTCTGACTTCACTTCTAAACTGTTCATAGCTTCCAGTGGGTGAGCAAATTATTTATTACCTAGAGATTTCTTCATATTAAAGGGAGTGTGTGTTCTGTTACAGCTTAGGTCTGCCATGGTTTCAGGGTGGTCTTGAGGGGGTGTCCCCTCTCTTGCCTTCCTAACTCATGCCAGCACCATTAACTGATGTCTGTTTTGCCTTGCTTCAAATGAGTCTCCAAATTCTCTGTAGCTTACCATGGAGCCACTGTTATACAAGTTTGAAAACTATGACAGAAAGGTCTGTCATAGATTTGTTGACATTTTAAAGATCCATTAGTATAGCAGATGAAAAAATTTCTTTTCTCTACCTATAAATATTTTCTCTGTAGATTTTTTTAGCTCACTAACAAATTGTACTAACAACAAGACTATTAGGAACATTCAGACTCCAAAAATTCACTGATATAGTGGACTTCGTTATCTTGTTGGTAGCTGGTTTCCTTAGTGACATTTTTGTAGATAACTGTTTTCACAAGGAAAGGAAAGTAATTCCCCTGAGATGTTCCCATGAATATATACAAAACAAAGGGAGAGAATGGGTTTATGTCTGTTAAATAATCAACAGAGGAAGAGTTTTGTTTTGTTTGTTCTATTTCTTTCAAAATGAGTGAATTGTCCTCCTAAAGTATAAGTGATCACTCTGGTTCTGAAGTGGGAAGTATGAACAGAATTCCATCAGAGCTTTGAGAAGAAATGACAGATTGTATTAGAAATTTTCAATGCCTAGTAAGTTTTGTTTTGTTTGTTCTATTTCTTTCAAAATGAGTGAATTGTCCTCCTAAAGTATAAGTGATCACTCTGGTTCTGAAGTGGGAAGTATGAATAGAATTCCATCAGAGCTTTGAGAAGAAATGACAGATTGTATTAGAAATTTTCAATGCCTAGTTTATTTTGGTTTCCATATAACATAATTTCATATATTGCATGCTATTTTCTTTCCCTTTGGATTTCACACATCAGCAACCTGGGATTAGCTCCATTTTAAACTTCCATTTGTAAAATATTAATTATCTTCTTTTGTAAATCTTTAGGTGTTGGATTCAGAGTTGGAGGAGAGACTGGAAATAAATACTTTGTCCTGCAGGTACACTATGGGGATATTAGTGCTTTTAGAGGTAAGTTTCAAAATGTTGGAACTAAGCACAACTTACAATACAATATTGTTTAAAATAGATGTAGTGACTGTTATCCACATAAAATGAAGAATTGCCCACATCCTCTGCCCACTAAGGAATAACTCCCTTTGTTTCCTTTAATTTGGAACTATTGAGGGAATGACTTTTATTTCAAAAGTTATTTCTCTTATGCACTTATTCATCCTGCTGTTTGTCTTATGCTGACCTTCCGGAGTACTTTTGCTTTCCAGTGCACTCTTATCTAACTGCTCCTGCTCCTATCAGGTGTGCTGCTCACTCCAAGCAACAGTCAAAAGGGACTGGCAGTTTATTTACACATTACTAAGAACAAGCCTTAGTAATGTGGAGAGTCTATAGGTTCTGCAATACCAGGGAGGTTCTCAAACACTTGGGCTCATGTTGATGCTTTATGTGTAATCTACACCTGCCACTTCATGAAGTCATCCTTTGTCTGCTTCACTAATCTACAGACCCTACCCACCCCTTAGACACTGCTAAATACTCCACTAGACACCTGTTGCTCTACCCATGATTACTATGCACTTCATTTAAATATCTCTTTTCTTACTATAGAATCATTAACATGACAAAGTGGTCCTGGTTTCCAAGGCAACCAAGACCATGCTTGTTATTCCTTTGGCTACATTTAATCAAACTCCAGCTGCATTCTGGGTTTACACTCTTGTGTTCACAAGAGTGTAAACATTAAGCAGACTTCTATTTGGTGTCTGCTTTTCTATTACATCTTGCTGTCTTATATACATATATATTTTCCCCAATTCCCTAATTTAAATTATATTTCTGTAACTAACCTGATACATTTCCCTTTTCAAACACATTAGATTTCTATCCGGCAGCAAAGTCTGGAACTAAATGTCCGTCTATGACTATGAAATACTCTCTAGGGCCTTTGCTGGGGAAGACCTATGTGGTGGGAGGGTTCATAAATTTATCAGCATTCAGAACTGGGACAATAAATGCAGCTTCCCTCTGGGAAAGGGTATTAAAATAATTGTTTTATATAATTGAAAAATTATAATTAGTTCTATATATATATTCATAAACATATTATCAATTAAACAAGCTCCCGTAGATCAGCACATGAACCTAACTTCCAAATAAAACTTGTTTTTATATTAAAAATATGCTTTGAGTTATACAGAAATAACTTTCCATTTATGGAACAGAACCTGATCTTAAATTGTTAACTTTGTAGTTATGAGGCAAGGTTTTGTTGAAAACGAAGGAGTAAATAATGTTTGTGTTTGAGGAATGAAAACAGAAATTATCTGCTGTAAAAATTTTCCACATTGGTGTCAGTGGAACCGGCACATCCTAGTACTGCTGACTTCAGAAGCATTGACAGGACTATAATTTTTTCAAATAGGCAAGAAGGCCTTCCCTGACCACCACAAATAAGTAGTTCATCATACCCACACACACTTTTCCAAACCTTAATCTCTATTCCTCTGTTAAACCCTGTACTTCACTTTTCAACCTAATTCCTCTTAGCTTTGTAGTATTCTTAACAGATACTGCATTGATACCCTAGGGAAAATGGATGATATCTACTAGTTTTTTAATATGTTACTGTAATAATTTAATCTTTCTGATAAGGAGTTAATTTTGTTTTATAATTTCTATTTAATCTAGGGTTGTATTGGTCCATTTTGTGTTGCTATTACAGAATACCTGAGACTGGGTAATTTATAAAGAACAGGTTTATTTAGCTTTTGATTCTGGTACAGCTGCATCTGGCATGGGCCTCAGGCTGCTTCCACTGGTGGCTGAAAGCAGCTGGCAGTTGGTGGCATAAGCAGATCACATGGCAAGAGGAAGCAAGAGAGAGAGAGAGAGGGAGGTGCCAAGGTCTTCTAAACAACCAGCTCTCATGGGAACCAACAGAGTAAGAACTTACTCACTACCCCCCCCCAAGATTAATCCATTCATGAGGGATCTGCCCCCATGACTCAAACAGCTCCCAACACTGCCACACTGGGGATCAGATTTCCACATCAGTTCTGGGAGGACAATAAATCCAAACTCCACCAAAGGCTAATAAAAAAGTACTGATATTTTAATATATAAACATATAATTATTTTTGCTGTGCAAGACAGATGAAAAATTATATTTTCAAAAATGAAAAATTTTTCATTTTCTTTTTTGAGAACAGTTTTTCTAAAAGAAGATATATATGAGGTAGAAAGATTTACTAGTACTATAATTCATAGAACTTATTATAATAAAAATGTAAACAAAAAATTTCACACATAATTCATTCAGCACCGTTAGATACTATCTGTCCTTTATGCTATACATGACTTAGAATAGTAAATAAACACATGGTGAAATATCAAATCTTACTATAACAACGAGATAGTATATTATATTTTTTAAACTGGGGATGGGTGGAGATTGAATTGCAGGACCCAGGACTGCAATTGGATAGATGGACCCAGAACTGCAACAGGTAGATCTGGTACAGTTTGGGAGGCTTATACATTAGTATGATGTTTTGGAAAGCAATTTAACCATTTTGTATACATTTAATATATAATATTAAAACTTTGTTCTAAGCTTCTATCCTAAACTTTTTTTCAAAAAATGGTCTACATACCCACAGTTATTTATTTACACACCAATAACTATGAATATAAAAAACTGGAAATGTTAACAAATGTCCCTTAATAGGGGGCTGGTTGAGTAAATGGTATAACAACAAAAATAGCAAATAATAAAACTTAATACAGACTGTATAAAATATACATATGCTTGTATGTTTACAGGATTGTAAGGAATAAGGGAAAAAAAGGAAACAGTCAATGAGCAAGAAAGAGGATTATGTGATTTTTTTTTTCCTTTAAAATGTTATAACATCATCTTTATAATTACATTTTTTAAATTCCACAAGCAGAACTGTGTTAACTTCTTCAATCTCAACTAGTTAAGTGTACTACATTCCCACTCATACTCTCATGACAAAAAAAAAAAAGAGCTAATGTGAATCTCTACATGCATGATTTACTATGCAACTGTATTATACTTTAAACAGGTTCTGTGTTATGACTGAATTATAATTATCTTCAGATGTACCTAGACGTAGAAAATAATTATGTCTCCTAATTATTAAAAATGCATTAAATATGTACAGATGTTATATATGTGTATACTATACACACACAAATACAAACATATATAATCATATCACCACTTTTGGTACCAGTGTCAATAAAGATTCAAACTTCATGATTTGAAAACTTGACGAGTTTTTAAGATGGCGACGGGTCTGGAACGGCCGTGCCAGGAGACAGCACAACCCTGAGAAGTGTGCGCTGTGATACCAGACTACTATTTGCATTTCCAAGAGCAACAAAAAACGAATAAATCTTTCAACAACGAACCTTCAACGACAAACCAGCAACAACAGGCTCGAGGTTTTAGGGCCGACACAAAAGAAGACTCCTGAGAGCACCCAAG